CTTCCTCGCAGCCTCCTCCTCCATCCGCCCAAGCTTTGGGAAGGACAAATCCTGATGGGGGGGAAAACAAGGGCTGAGCGCATTGGCTTGGGGGTTCCTCCTGCCCAAGTCCATCTCTAGAACTCACCGGGCATCCTGTGTCCATAAAAACCTCCAAAACACCAAGATTCAGCCCAGAAAAATCCAAACCACCGAGATTCAGGCAAAAAGCCCCTCAGAAACAGTGAGATGAACCCCTCCCCAAACTGCAAAATGTTAAGATTCAGCCAAAAAATACTCCAAAATATGAAGATTCAGCAAAAAAAAAAAAGTGTTTATTTGGGAAGATTAGGAGAGTGAGGACATTTCATGAGCACTCGATTTGATTCAGTTGCTATATATTAATCAAAAACCGAATTAACGTAGTGTCACTTAAAACTCAATTTTTTTCTTCCTAGTTTCAGTGTAAAGAATAAATATGAAATTACTGGACTGCAGGCCTGGATCATTACCCCTGTGCTTTGGAGTGCAAATGCTTTCTCCCTCCACTTCTCCCCTGCCATCATTTCTGACAACTGGACTCCTGCTGTGCTGTGCCAATCTCCTGGGATGTGCAGTTTCCACGTTTGCAAGGATTAAAGGCTACTTTTGCCTCCCAGTGCCAAAGGCTGCTCTGTGAAGTTTAGTGTGAGAGAATCCTGGGCAATCAGACACTGAAATTGTTGAGCTGCAATGGCCCATGCAAATGGAATGACAGAATCCATTCTGCTGGCCCAGATACAGAAGCCAATATCTGGCTGTGGCTCTTTGCCTCACTGGCACCATCCTCTGTGGTTCCTGCTGCCCACCATGGCACTGGCAGTCCCAGGGGCACAGGTACGTCCATCCTGTACATGAAATCAGCGTTAGACTGTCAACAAGTGTTAGCAGGAGTAAAACAGTGCACTGCTGACCTTCTCGAATTTATCTCTGTTAATGTCTGACTTCACTTGGTCAATCTGTGTTCTCTTGCACAGCGTTATGTGGGTTTATGATTTTTATTATCACTGCACCAAATTAATCTGGAATGTGTGGTCAGAACAGTAATTACCTGTATTTGTGTATAACTGTGTGCTCTTCTATTTTTCATGCTTTCTGGCAAATTCGCTGACAACTTCTTTCATGACTACATGATGGGGACTGAATTTAGGGTTGGGGGGTTTTCCTGAGGGCAGCACTACACCAGACTTTTGTGTGTGTGTGTGAGACAGGCAGAAGCACAAATGCCTGCACAGCCCAGAGCAGTCAGTGTGGGGCTGTGCTTGCTGCTGCAGAGACCCCCAGGGAACAAACCCAGGGAGTAGTTTGGGTTTATTCCTTGCTCTGTGTCAGTGGAATAGAATGTTCCACAGGAGCTCTGTCCCCCTCTGTGGCACCGGGTGGCTTGAAGTTGAAGAGAGGGGGGTGTCAAGTGCAAGTTCCCTTTTGAAGTGGGTGTCCCTAAGGAGGACACTTGCCTTATTATTGCTTATTATTTGTAATATCGTATAGATCTATCACACAACACCTAAGGATGGATTCTGTAGAATATGTGCCAGATATATGATACAGAATTGTAGTGGTTTGGACCTTGGTTTTTCCCCCAGAGGCTGAAAAGTGGTAGACCCCAAGGGGTGGAAACCCCTGGAAGTTTTGAAGTTTTGCCCAATGGGCGCTCCTGCAAAAATGTAAACATATCACAAGCACCGTAAGAGATGAGTGGTAGTTTGGTGGAGAGGAGAGGTGGCTGTGTTGTAGAGCCACGAGGAAGGGGCTCTGAGCCCCTCGGGGCCTCCAGGGTCCCCCAGCCCCAGTTGGGG